CAGCCTGCCCTGCTCCACTGCAGCACTGCCAAATCCAGCACTCCAAGCCATTTTTCCTGCTCTCTCCTATCCTGGAGCATTTCAGCCTCCTTTGCTCCACTGCCCATCCCCTCCAGCTCCCTCCTCTCAGCTCCAGGGTTCAGTTTTCCACCCTAGCACCCCCAAATCCCCAGGCTCTGCCACCTCCCTCCTGTGCCCCATGGCACAGTCCAGCCCTGGAGCATCACAGCTCCCGTTTTCCTTCTGCTCAAAACCAGGCTGGAGAATCCCAGAGCTTTTTGTGACCATCTTTGATGCTCTTTAACCCACACCCGTGGTGCTGCAAGGATTCCTCTCCTGTCTCAAGACACCCCTCATCCTTCAGCCACATCCTGCCGTCCCTCCACCCCTCAAACACAGCTTTAAAATCTCTGTATTTGTGCACAAGTCCACATTCCCTGCTCAGGGACATCAGAGCACCCTTGGCAAGTACAGACTTTAGAGAGTTGTCCTGGATTTACTAACAGGAGGTCATGCCTAACAAACTTGATTAATTTCTTTGAGGAGGTGACAATGACAAGGGACTGGGCAAGGAAATAAAGCATAATTCAATCAGACTTCAAGAGCCCTTTGATACAGTACCACATAAAAGGCTAATTTATAAGGTTAATATGGATGGCATTGATAGCAAAACACTTATCCATGTAAACATCTTTCTTTTAATTACTCTGCAAAGAAAGTAGGAGGCAAAGCAAACAGTGGCTGATCACAAGAACAGGAAAAGGAAATTACCACAGGAACTTCAGCTGTTTGTGCACTCATACCCATGGCTGGTAGGGATTTTCTTCCAGCACCTTCTAAGATAATTCCTTATAGATGTCTCTCATCTTGGTGACCAAACAGGCTACACAAGGTGAGGGAAGAGTGTCACATCCTTATTGTGCCTCCCCAGGATACCTGGCATTTATAGCTGCATTAATAGTGGTTTAATAAAAGGCACCATGTCAGAGGAGCTGCTGGTGTTCCAAGCACAGAAGGCTGGGCAGGTACACCACAGGGTGTTAAACAAAGCCAAGAATGAGGACAAAAACCAAGACTCAAAGATTAAATTATCACAGGAACTTCAGGTATTTGTGCACTCATTCTCATGGCTGGTAGGATTTTTCTTCCAGCACCTTCTAAGATGATTCCCTATAGATCCCTCTCACCTTGTAGCTACCCAAGGTGAAGGGACAAAGTCAAATCCTTATTGTGCCTCTCCAGGACACCTGGCATGGTGTCATTTATAGCTGCATTAATAAAAGGCACCATATCAGAGGAGCTGCTGGCTTTCCAAGCACAGAAGGCTGGGCAGGTACACACAGGGTGTTAAACAAAGCCAAGAATGAGGACAAAAATCAAGACTCAAAGATCAGAAGGCAGCCTTAGGCTCAGCAAAGCAATCCTACCTGTGTGCAGCTCCCCAGGGGACAGGTGTGCTCCTTCAGCTGCCTTGCTCCGTGGTTACCACAGGCTGAGGGTCACCACAGCAGAAGAGTTCCCTTGCCTTCAGCTGCAGCCTGTGTTCTTCTTGGTCATTAAAACATCACCTAGCAGAATGAAATCACCCTTCATTATCAGTAAGTACAGAAAAGGAAGAGATTTTTCCCTTTCCTGGTCCAGCAGGAGGTCCAGGCAGACACAAAGGTGCTGCATGATCCTTGCACCACCACCCATCTCCTCCCCAAACCAGAGCCTTCAGCCTGGCCACTGCTCCTCTCTGCCAGCACAGCCAGTGCTTCCCTCTGTTTTCCCAGAAAAAAAAAAAAAAAAAAAAAAAAAAGCACATCTGTTTTCTGTAAATGCTGTAAATTAGTTAATGTTTGTAAAGTGCTCTGCTCGTGTGAAGTGCTCCATAATTACTACATATTATCAATATAATTTGGCTGGATTGTGCCACAGCCGCCTCCTCTCTTCATTTGCAGCTTGGAGAGAGTTTTCTTAGACATCAGCTCTTGGTGCCACCCATCTCAGAACTGCCCTGACCTCACTTGAAGGGGAATAAACCCAGCCCTGGGTACATCCCTGGCACCCTTCACCTCCTCTCCATTCAGGAGGCAGAGTGAGGGATCCCTCCTGAGGAAGAGGAGCTGCTATTTGGGAAGGGCTTGTAGTCCATAAATTAATGCCCCCAGAATTTGTAACAGCTACTGAAAATATCCTAAATATCAGGATATCAGCAGCCTGGCTAGTGATGGGCTCAGAATTTGGATTGGAAGTCCCTGGTCTGCAATTAATAGGAGTGATCTGTTGAGGCACCTCACTGCTCATATCAATACATCCCCTAAAATGAACACAATCTGAACAACCATGACCTGCTTTTCCCAGCTTCCTGCTCCCTAGCACCCTCTTCCAGCAAATCCTGCATTTTTCAGGTCTCAACAAAACAAAGCCTATATAAAACACTTCCTAGTTCTAGGCTAAAACCTGATAGAAAAAATAAATTTTCATATTAGAGAAATAAACTGAATAATAGGCAATCTAACTCTCCTTAAAAGATACAGAAAGAACTTGAAGAAAGTCTTAAAATTCATAGCTTATAGAAAATAGAACCCTAAAGAAAATAAATGCTAAAAACCACTAAAATAAAAAGACCAGGAGAAAAACTCCCTGCTTCTCTAAGGTACTGCTGCCCATCCCTCCTGGATTTAAAGGACCGATGAGCAGAAGTGGTGCCAGCTGGGAAAACAATTGGGCAGAAAAAAATCAACAATTTGAAGGTACTTTCTAGTTTTATTTCTAACTCCTGGGACAAATAATCTAACTTGAGGGCAACATTCCCCACAGATCTGTCAAATTATTAAAGTGGAATGATGGGAAAAATATTTGGCCTGTGACAAGATGTATTTAAAATTGCTGAAGTGAGAAAAAGAAAAAAAATGTTACCAGAATATCTGTTCTTTCTAAAAACAAAAACTATCAGACTATGAAAAGGGTGTGATTGGAAAGCCAGAAGTTTTCTGGTGTACATAAAATACTCCACAAGGCACTAAATGATCTGATTGACCCAAACTTACATCAGTGCTTTTTTACAAGTGTTACCTGAGAAGGAAATTTTCTGCATTTCTGTGTGATAGGAAACTTTCAAATGTGGGGTCTCATTGATAGGGAGGTAATCCTGTCCAAGCATGGACAATGATTTAATCCATCCCAGCTTGCCTGGGAAACCCATATTCAGGAGGAAATGTCTGGATTAAGCTGGTCAAAATCATGGAGAAGCAGATTTCCAATTCACAGTTTATGTGTTCTGAATTTGTCTCATAACAGTTTTTGATTTCAGAGGTTTTAACATTTGAACTCTCACTTTCTGAGAGGCTTCCCTTTGTTCTCTGATGGGATAGATGGAAATACTGGATTCAAAATGCCAAAATGCAGCACATCAGACTGATAGCTGATTCTTCTGGCTCAATCTGTAGCTGATAACAGAGCAGTATTTGAATTTCCAGCAAATTTAAATATAATGTTCGAATTATTTCAGATAAAATTGAGAATATTCCAGTGTTTTTTAAGCATGTGTCATGCTGTGGCTTGGGAGCTCTGTGCTGCTCTCCAGCTTTGTCAAATTCATCTGGTTAACCTGGAACTTTCCAGTTTCTCTCCCTGTTTTTAGTATCACATGAATGGAGGGGTCTTGGTGCTCTGAAATCTTTCCAAGAGAGACAAGGAGTCTACAACACTTCTGGCATGGGTGTGATTATAAAGCAGTAGAGGGGAAAATGGTTCTATAAAACAGTGGTCCAGATCATCTGCAAGTGCAAATGGGTTTGGCTCTGTTGAGATCAGTGGAGCAATGTCAATTTACAGCTGCTGAGGCTCCTGCTTAGTCTGCAGACCTGGGGCACAGCAGCTGCAGCACCTGGACTGCAGATCCTGAAGGAATAGATTTCAGAGGAAGCTCTTGCTCGTTATGGCACAGGCAGAAGGAAAGGTATTTTCCTGAGTTTTATTTCGTTGGAGGGAGAAAAAATAGGATTAAATGTCTGTTTAAAAGACAGGAGAACTGGGCAGAAACAAATCCTTTGGAGGGGCTCTGCACCAGACCCCTCTCCTGGTCCCTTCCTTGTTGTCCAGCATTGCCTGTAACTGCTGGTTGAGGCTTTTTCTCTCTCAAATACATCCCTTGCTTCTCATTTTACAAAGTGAGAGGGGTTGCTTTAAAGAAAAAAAAAAGTTCCAGATTATAAATGCATCCTATTAGGGTTTCTTTTTCTTTCCTTCCAGACAAAAGCATTTCTGCTTCCAAGCTTGACAGACCTCCCGACCCTGCTGATGTGGGTGGATGGCTCTGCATGTTCTGAATCATTTGCTTCCTTTTCAAGTGTTACTTTCCCCTTATTTCAATTACCCTTCCTCTGTAATTACTGGGGCTGCTCCAGCGAGCAGAGCAGAGCGCTGTGGAGCTGACAGCCCGGCTAGCAGCAGGGTGGGCTGCCCATGCCATCCACATCCTCATCCTGCCAGTGAAATCCCCATCCTTATCCTGCCTGGCCATCCACATCCTTGTCCTGCCTGTGCCATCCCCATCCTTGTCTTGTCCGTGCCATCC